GTCTTCTTTTTGTTTTGTTCTTTTGTATCAGACTGAAGAATTTGCTGATACAATGTTTTGTCAGAGGAGCTGTACACTTGTATTCTGCCAATGGAGTCCCATTTTAGAAAAAATACACACAAAAGTATAAACAAACCACAGGATTATTCCTTCTCTTGCTTTCATAACCCCCCCCCAAGTTTATTAACATTTTGGGTCTTATCTTCATTCCTGTCAGCAACAATCATAATAGACCGACAAAGGGATTTATCTGAAGACAACATTGCTAAAAGAAAACAAGTCTGAAGAAGGATACAAGTTTGGCTTCATACCAGTTTTAAACCAAAACTAACACAATATATTTTGAAGAGAAAAAAGCTGGAAAACTTGATCATCACAGCTGTCCTTTGTAAACATCAGCCACAGTTCACAGACTGACTTCCTGCAACTTTAACCCACAGTATTTACGGCAAACGTGTGCACACAATTTTCACAATTTAGCAGCAATATGGGCAGCACTCTTTAAAACCAACAATGCAAAAATGAAGCTGTTGTCTTAAAAAAACATCACGTCTGAAAGTCTTATCCTTGGTTTCTTGCACCGTCTACTAGTCTAGACCTCAGCCTCACTTTGGTTGTGAAAAAACAAAAACAGAATTTATTTCTAACTTTCCTCTTCTCAGTGGGTCATGTCTAAAATAATCTATGTAGCAGCTGATCAGTCTCCTGTAAATAAAAGATGTCATTGTGTAATCACAACTAGCTTCTCTTATTCTCAAGAGCCAGCTCTCTGTTTTATCAGCTATAAAAGATTGAAAAACAGGTCAAATAAAAGCCATATGTCAGTACAAGCTTGTTGTTCCAAACACGTGTGATACATCTGATAGAAAGAATGTAATTTGACCTTTCCTCTCTGTCACATAATGACTCTCCTCATTGCATTCATTGAATTTTTGTGTGTATTTCATGTCAGAAAAGCAATGAACAAATATTCTGTTGTTTGGAGTCCTTCCCCCCATCTCTTTTCTTTTCTTATTTAGTCATGCTTCTGTGATGGACACAGCCATTTGGACAAATTCATATTGGCAACTTGTCTTTGCAGGAGAATCAATGCAAACCCTTCCTGGACGTATTGAAGAATGTCCTTGTTCATTTCAACACATGTAATGATGGCCGTGCTTAGCCAAATCCTTACTTTACATTTTCTTCCCCCCACCTCTTAGGTTTACTTAATGTAGATAAATGTTGAGGCAACAATAACCCTGTGGTCCTTCAATTTGAGGCATGCATTCATAAATAATTATCAAACCAAATACATCTTTAAATACAGTCCTTGTAATAAATACACAAAAGGTAGTTTAGGGTGCAGAAAGTGACATTTCAGCTTCTCCATCAAAATCCTGCTGGAATTGAATTGCATCTGAGATTCCATGGATTCTTTGCCTTGTTTTTTAAATGTTGATCAGTCAAAGTGATCAGACAGTTGTTGACGCAGGTTAAATTTACCTGATGAAATATTGATGTACACTTCTGGTTGCATGTTGCCTGTTTGGCTTGATTATCCCCCTGTATTGGCTACTAAGTCTGTGGTCATTTTGTTTTTGTTGTTTATGGCAGTGTCACATATTTGAGGCATGAGAAAGTTCTTAGTTTTTAAACTCTGACCTTCAGTGTTAAAACATTGTTTTCCTTCAATCAATCTTAATCTTTTGTTTCCCCTTGTTGCAAACTTTCCATAAGTGTCTTTCATTCTTGCTGTCTTTCTCTCCATTACTCTTGTTTTTTAACCTCCTTTTTGACCGGTTGCTCATGTGTATTTAGAGGAAGTCGCTCTGCATCTCGTTGGAGAGCTGACTCACAGCCACCTCAGTGTGTGCTGATCCTTTAAGTAGCCTGACAGTTTTCAAGGGCTTTCGTCTGTAAAGTGTTCTCTGGTACCAGTGACTGTTTCAGGGCAAGGACAGTGTCTGCAGGTCCCGTGGTTCTCGGGCAGCCCATTTGACAACCTTGTGGAGTTGCACTCTTCTCGGTGATGGGACCGCATGCAAGTTCCCTTCTGTGTGGAGCTGTGCGGACACAGACATCCACAGAGTGACCTCCTGCACAGGGCCACATCCCTGCACAGGGACTTACGGAAGTTTGGCTTGAAGACCAGATAGACTATAGGGTTGTAAAGGGTGGAGGACTTTGCAAATATAGCTGCCAAGGCAAACGCCATAGGTGGTACAGTTTCTGGGTTTCCAAAAGCCGCCCACATGGACACGATGGCATATGGACTCCATGCCATCAGGAAACCGATGCAAACTGCCACTGAAAGCTGAAAAGAATACAACAAACATTTGTCATGTAAGCACATTTTTTCTTAGGCCTTTATAGAATCTTTTTAATTGAATCCTTGCGTTTACCTTAATGATAAGCGCATGTGCATTGGTGATCTTGTTCTGCGGGGACATGTGCTGCTGCACAGCCTGTCGTGAGCCTCGGACAGTCAGCAGGATGAACGTGTAGGACAGAAAGATGACAGTGCAGGGCACGATGTAGCAGAAGAAGAAGAGGCAAATGATGTAGCTCATAGCTGCAGAATTTTGGCTGGGCGCATTCCAGTCGATGCAGCATGCTGTACCGTAAGGCTCAGCGCCATACTCTCCCCAGCCCGACAGGGGACCCACAGCAAAAACGCCAGCATAGCACCAGACCCCGGCTACCAGCAGGCAGGCGTGGCAGTAGGAGAACTTGTTTCCTGAGGTGGAGCAGAACAGGTGAGAGACAGAGGGAGAGTAGGGAGAGTTGGTGGAGTGATTCCTGACGAATGAGAACACAAAGGATACAGAAGCAACAATATGCTACTGAAGCATATTAAGTTTGGTTACCTGATGCTAAAACATACAGTGAGTGAGAGGGAGGAAATGGAAGACAGAATGATAAAGATTCTGATTTCCTTCAAAGATGGATCAGTATGACAGGATGATTTGTTGTTTACAGATGATTTGGAGTTACTTTAGCCTGTGTTATCAGCTAATGACCACTGCTTGAACAGATAAGAGATCATCTGTCCCTGGGGAATGCACACTAGAGCCTACATAAAAACATTATTTTGGGTGTATGCAGCATGTTTACCTAGAGGCCTTAGTATGTGTTTAAAAAAAAAAAACATCTAAGGAGCTACTCAATCATTTTACTGTACTGCCCCTGGTCTTGTGGTCTTGTGTGCAACCTCACATTAGCAAACAAAAGCAGCACTGTTTGTCAGTATAACTGTTTCTTTTGTATATCAGATCAGTTTATGAAATCATGCACACAGAAAAATAAGGTAGAATCAGGTATAATAACAGTCCATTGTATTCCCTCTAATAGTTTTCTTATTGGCTTTAAAATAAACAAATTAACCCTCTTAAAAGAACTACCACTTTTTCTCCTATTTTATTTAATTAGATTCCATAAAATCTCTGGTCAAAACATGTTCCAAAACTGATTCACAAAAACTTTCCCATAAGTCTCCTATAATTTAGGAATGGAAGAAAACGATATTGACTTGTCTAAATAACTGAAGTTATTTATAATTTGCAATACTATAAATGTAAACTGGTAATGGAGAAAATGTATTACAAATTCTATTTTGTCCCCCCCCCCCCGAATCTTCACTGTACACTAATACATGTTGTTGTATCTGTTGTGTGTCCTTGTTTTAGGTTTACTTTTTTAAAAGGGGGAAGTCCTTCATTAATGGGGTCATGTGTCATTTACAGTATCCACAATGCATTCTGTTCATAGTACCGTCATTAGTGGTTCCAAATTTTGTCATCTCTCATTTGCCAGAGAGTGAATAAGAGGATCCATGGGAAAGCCTGAAACCCCCCCTCGCTGCTAACTGACTGTAATTGATTTAGACGAGAGCTTCCTCAGTGTGGACTCAGTGACGAGGAGAACACAGGGAGCCTTATCTCTGAGCGCACACAGCCTCTTCAGCTGGATGTCAGCCGTCTTTCATTTCAAGCTGAGGGTGATTAAGCCTTGTGGCAGTCGCTGAACTCTGCCATGCTGGGGAAGGGGGCTGGTGAGCCTTTACAGATGGATTATTCTTTTCTGATGAGGAGCATCCAATCAACAATCACCCTGTTCAGCTATCTGAGTGGCATATGAAGGATTCAACCTGAGCTTTAATTTGTAAAAGAGGATCTCGAACATGTGCCCTTGCAGTTTAAATTCACGTTTTAGGAATGGAATAAGAAGATCAGTTGTAGTGTTCTTTAAGTAATAACATTAATCCTGACTGATGCCTATTTAAACAGCGTATTGTATTTCTTCATACGAAAGTCAAAAAGTAAAACTGACGCCAAATAATGGCCTAATGGCTAATACAAACAAATGAAGGTTGGTACCCAATACTGCCAGGGTTCACACAATGTGCGACCAACTAATAACAACATGCATTTTATTTACAAAAACATTAATGAAATTATTTTTTGACAAGTACATAATAACCACCAAACTGTAATTTATAGTTACATGGATGTGAAACAAGGGGGCAGTAGCAACATTTCAAGTGATGTTAAATGTGCAACTCCCTCGTTTTAAAAATGGGGATACTGTCAACTGAGACACTAAAGGACCTCTATGTTGGAACAGATACAGTCTGGGTTGAGTTTGTAACAGCCTTCATAAAGTAACGTTAAAGGAGGAAACCGCAGGTCCCACAAGGCCTTGTAGTTTACGGTGACAATCAAAATGAACAAAAAGAGCAAATTAGTGTTAAAGTCTTACCTCCAATACAAGCCTGATTCAAATAAAGATTTGGTACCCTCTGTCGTTGTAAGTAAATAAAGGAAAATGACTAGTAGGAGGTTGAATTGGCTGCAAGGTAAACAAATACATTTGGGGTTCATCGCTTGTGTTTCTGATGAAGCATTTCAACCTTTTTGTCTGTGATGCTCTTTGTGTGTTCCCTTCATGCGTGCCATACAGAGATTGTTGTGACATAGCCTCTGATTGAGATCCATTTCAGCTCATTGGTGCCTGAAAGACATCAATTTTAACAGCCAATAGCACTTAACATCTGGACTGATACATCACATTGATTCTGTTGTCAGTTATCTGTACGTCAGCCCTCTTTAACTGTACAGAAATTCCCCAGATCCCCTCTCCATTCCCGTATACCCCACCTCCCTCCTGCAATTAGTTCTCTCGCTGTGGACATGTAAGACGCACCCAGCTCAGTCTTTTCTTTGATGGACTTCGAGCTGGCGTTCACAGGTTCATCAGCAGCCGTCGGTGCTGTAGATTTAAGCAAATAGGAATCACCAGATTCACATGCCGATGTTACACCACTGGGTGATGGTTTGATTTGTCATGAGCTGGGGTTTATTCGAAAAACAAATACTCAAATGCGGTACTCCAACTGTGACAAAATGCTAATAAAAAAGAGAAAGGAAGATGCACCCTCCATTACGCTCCCACATGTCCCCAATGCAACCTTTCCTTTGCTAACTTCTCATGTTTTTATTCATCAGTTGCCTCTTCTTGCATTTTCTTAAGTGCCTCTCTCGAAGACATTTCTGCAAAAATATGTCAGAAAAATTCAGCTATGTGATCTAAGGCCTTCTGAGATCGACTAGAAAAGTAGATAAGGGGCTGTAGGAATGCTTTTAAGGGTCAACCATTGTACAGAAGTTTCAAGGACCTTCAACTAAAGAACTAAAATCTAAACAAAAATTTAAGGCTGCTCATCAGCCATCAATTTAGTTTTGTGTATTTGAATATCTCTTGTCTCTGCAGATCCTGCAAGAAGGATATTTTTTTTGTGGCTGCAGTGAAGTATTAGAAATATATTTTTTTTTTGGGGGGGGGGGATTTTCTGTGCCTTTGATGAAGAGATAGGACAGTGGATAGAGTCGGAAATCAGGGAGTGAGGATGGGGAAAGACATGCGGGAAAGGAGCCACAGGCAGGATTTGAACCTGGGCCGCCCGCTTTGAGGACTACAGTTTCCATACATAGGGTGCGCGCACTAACCATTGTGCCACCAGTGCCCCAAATATTGGAAATGATGATTTCAGTGAGTGTGAGAGTTCACAGACATCTAGTGCAGTCAAACCAGAGTTTATTGTCCTTCGCAAGCTGATACTGATTAGCCCAAGTTGAGTTTCATGTGATAACCTCTCTGTATTAACTTGACACATGGAATCTGAACCTTGTGTCAGCACTGCATGAATTTTATCATGATTTTTGTGTTATTTCATAAACACAGGTCCTACACTGCTTGTTTCTTTTCTAATGTTCATGCAAAGCACTCCACTCACTGGCTCTTGTCGCCCAATGGAACCCACTTGCTTACATTTGGCACATTGCAGATTTTTCAAAAGGGGAAACTGTCTTTTGAAAAAGAAACAGCCGATATGTGGATGATCTAAAGGACAATAACTTCAATATGTACAGTTTTTTTTCTGCAAACCAAAGAGAACTGAATGATTCTACGTTATACTGCTGCTTCTTTTCCTCGTTCAAGGGGCGTGTCCAGAGGGAGGCGTTGGCCCCCTTGAAATCTGATTGGCCACCCTTGGTGCTAGCGTTTGTGACATTTCAATGTGGAACATTTTGATTTACTGTGATTTTTTTTAAAAGTTAATGATGCCTTGAGTCTTTTTAATATTTCATGGTAATGTGTGTGTCTGTGTGTTTAACAAGGACGGCTGTCAGCTACAGTGACTAAACTAGTTTGGAAAAAAAAGTGGAACAAGGGGAAGCTGAACCGTGTGTACGCTGTGTTCATTTTTCTTGCAGGGAACTCTCAAAAAGACGTAATTATTAATGTTTCATTTGCACTTCAAACACTTTTATTTGTGAGGCTTGTAGTCTTTAGGGGTTTTACACTGCATTATAGACAATCTTCTTCTGGAAAAACAGACAAGGGGAACTGTTGAAAACGCAGCCCTGACTTCTGTGCTTATTAAAAGCAATGTTGGATGTAGACAAATTAAGTCTGTTCCATGCTGCTTTTACAAGCTGTGCTAATTTTTTTCATGGACCCACATTTTCCTCTCTCTGTTCTCTTTTTAACTATAACTATAAGTAACTATGCCTCATTTGTGCATCTTCTACCTTTTTTTGTCTAGCATCATAAACCATATAGACACCGTATGAGTCAGTCTGTGTACCCCCTGGAGTGTGTATGGGTAAGAGCGAATGTGGAAAGCATATAAATGTGTTAATCCCTGGATTCTGTACTCCAAGAGTGTACATACAATCTGTGCTCGAACAAACAAATGTGCTGCCATTCACAGATAATGGATGAATAAAGTCTGAAAAGGACGGAGCATCTGAGTGAAGTCAATATTCTGCTATTAGTGTCAAATAATACCAAAATATTTGCAGTGGAGATTCAATATTTCTAAATGAATGAAGATTTTATGACTGAGTGGTTCTGTGTGAAATGATTGCATATTTACGGAAGACAAGAAATTGATTTGAAATACATTAGGAGTGACAGATGAAAAAAACACCAACTGAAATCACCTCCTTTAAATGTTGATATACCATAGAAGCATATAGCCGATGGGAACATGTGCATGTAATTAAATGTTTGTACTTTCTAGCAGTGTATTTTTAAAAAAAAACTTGAGACTCTAAGTCATCCGTCTAGGCTGCTTAAAGTTGTGAACACAGTCAATCCTGTGAATAAATCCTCAATGGCTTCAGCCAAAAGATTAATTATACTCATTAGCAATGAGCTGCTTAAACACTTTGCAGTCATAGCAATGAGAGTGGAAGGAGTTCACGAGCCACACGACTAAAGCCTTTTTGCTAAATCTTCAGTTTGTCATTGGTTGACTAAAGTTTGCAGGAGTTTTAGTTATCTTCTGGATAATTGAGAAGTTATATAAACTATTGCATTTACAATTTGAGCACATCAGATATGGCCTCTGCGGAGCTGTGTTAGCAGTCCAGTGTTGTTTTGGCATTATCTCATCCTCAACACAGGCCTGTTTATTGCAACCAATTAGCAAATGAAGCTAATTAATCTTCGGCTTGAATTCTTTTTCTCTCCGCTCTATGGGAATTGCACCAAGGCCCTCTAACTTGAACAATATAACTCAAAGAGAAGGACATGAAAATACCACATCAGAGTATCAGCTAAGTGTTCCTGTTAATGTTAGTGGACATATATTTTAAAGTGACTATATCTGTGAACTTCATCATAACAGGAGAGTTTAGCTCATTTCCCTGCTGTCTGTTACATCACTTTATTGCTCTATTATTATAAACAGTGGTTTACACTTCTATAAGACAGATATGAACAAAAATATAAAATCATACAAACATGAGTACAAACAGTGTAAAAGTGTTTTTCTCTCTGTTGGCCTTCTGAGGAACTTTGATTTGTAAATTGGCAGCACTTAACCTTAAGCTCCATGGCATTATAATTCATAAAGTCTCTCACCTTGACAATAATGTAAACTCTTTATGTAAAGTGCTATTTAATGCTTTGAACAGGACTCTGACTGAGTAACCTATCTTAAGTGTACTTAACATCTGAGCGTCAACCGTAGACCTCAAACAGTACTATTAGCAATGCACGTCATGTTTCCATAAAATGTTACCATACAATCATCTTATCAATAGAAGATGAATACAGATTCGCTGATACTGAGTTTAAATGTAACCACCAAGTCTCTCTGGGTTGGTACATTTTGTACATCATATTATCAAAGGTCTGTTGACTTTATGGCTCTAAAAATATATTTTACTCCAGTTTTGTGAAAATGAACAACACTTGAAATGAAATGTGAAATTCACAAGTGAACACTGAGTAGTAATACATGCAGCCAGGGGATCATTGATGCCAATAATTGGATGGTTTGTTAGTAATGTGAATGCTGAACTGTTCTTTATGCGTTACATTAACGCCAACTGGACTTTAAATTTGTTTTCTTACGTGCACTCTGTGAGTAGGTTACATACACTGTAAGATTTTTTCTCAATGTCCACTACACAGCTCCTACATTGCACCTTTTGTACATTTTGTGTCTTTTATTTTTTATATTTTATAATTTACATTTTTAAATTCTATTATATATATTGTAATAGCTTCTTATACTGTATTATCTGAGTTGTTGCTTGTTCTGAGTTATTTCCTTGTTATGAAGCTCAGCGTAAGTTCAGACAGGAAGACTGGTTATATTCTTTCACAAATTCATTCATCCTTTCACTTCAACTTAAACTACTTCCTGCGTCTATCGGCTCTGGTGATCAGCTGATAATGGGCGTTTATTCTTTAAGTAATTAACCAACCAGATTTGGGCACAACCTCTCTCAACCAATCATCCTGCTGCGGCAAAATGCTAAAACAGTTCTCTCTCTTCCACAGTCATTTCGTCATTTCAGGGCAACCGCTGCAAGCCACCACCGCCCAGTCACCTCCATTCCTCTTCACCACCACCAGTGTCTAGACTCCATTGGGGGATATCCTATCCTGCTGTCGGCCTCATTACCCTTCCGAGTACATGAAGTTGTCACATTTAGATTCAAATCTAAAATGTTCCACATTTATTGTTAAATAAATAATAGTTCATTCTCAAGTAAGTCTCTCCTGATTGAAAATTGTTTAGCACCAATACACCAAGCCAAATTCCTTGTATGTGTAAATGTACTTGGCAATAAAACCTGATTCTGATTTCAAACGAAAGACCCTGAAGAGGAATACATTATAAAAGAGGAGGATGTATATCTAAAGTCCTGTGAAGCCTCAGACTATTTACAGTACATAACCTTCTGTTTAAAGACTTTACAACATTTTATTGCGCATCAATCATTATGCAGTGTGGCAACTTTCACTTTAAACCAAGCCCTTGACTTTTTGACCTCACTGCATGAATATTTCTCTCTTCAGAAATAAAGCTCCTTGGTATCAGGGGAAAGCTTAGTTGATCGACCCAGGAAAAGCCTGCCTTCTAGATGATCAATATTAATATATGGACACCAAAAATACTTTTTAAAAATGTTGTTGATGATGGTAGATCAAGGAGCTAGAAATTAGGTTTCTTACCATAGTTTGGGCAGCAGACTTTGAGCCAGCAGACAGATGAGAGCACCGTGAGGTTGGTCAGACTGCACAGGCCAAACAAAACCCCACAGAAGGCATAGACAATGCAGGTGGTCTCATTAAACAGCCACCTGAATGGAGACACAGAGAGAAAGGGAGAGAAATATTATTGACTGACATTCTGATCCTAAATCATGCAGGATTGCCATGCAGAATTCCTCTGATGGATTACACAATTCACACCCTGTAGATGGAACAGGTGATACATTAACTGGCCTTCCCCTGAGTCAGTTACAACGGCACTGAAGCATTTTAACCCAATGAACAAAAGCACAAAATGAAAGCTCCGAGCTGTATGTGCCAAAAGGATCAAAGCAGCTGACAAGGTCACAGGATGAAGCGCCACCTTTATTTTGCAGGTGATAAAGACGTCACTATATACCCGTAGTTAGTTTTCTTTCTATAGATTTGTATCAATCTTGAAAGGATGAAATGATTGTGAAATTTTGCTTGCTTTAACAGTAAAAAGAAATGTGACCGCTGTATTGTTACTGCATCAACCCTACTTTGATTGAAATGTTTTCTTTTGTATCCTCAATACAAAGACCAGTGTTTGCCGCCCTCATTGAATATCAAATATCAAATTATCACAATAACGGACTATCTGTGCAGACAGCCTCAATAATTGTCACAAAATATATGGAGCAAGCTTCATGAAGCCTGAAAGGCATAGCTCAGGGCAAACACATCTTGCCTTGCTTATTTTACAGCTTATAGCAGTTATAAATCTATATTTTACTTGTGGAAAACAAGAATGACATTTGATTCAACCGTAGTCACACTACCCCCTGTCAAAACTAAAATGTGTCTATATTCACAGTATTTGTATAGATATAACCACTATAAGTAACATTGTTAATGTGGTTCCAAAGACATACGGCTTTCCACTTCCATTATAACAATATACGTTCATGTAGTGCCATAACAGAGGGGACAAAAAGAAGAGTTAATGGTCACTTACATGTGAGCATAGGTTGAAGTGATAGCCAATGGGAACAGGCTAATGGTCATGCCCATGTCACTGATGGCCAGGTTAACCACAAAGAACTCTGCAGGCTTCAGGGAGGACTTCTTTCTATAGGCCACGAACAGCAGGATCCCATTTCCCAGCATTGACAGCACACCTAAAAGGTGGAACAGAGTGATTTTGAATGTGCAGTCACATAAATAATGCTGTGAATCCTGGGGGGAAAATACAACATCACTCACCGAAAATGGTGTAAATAGTTCCCATGAGGAAGTCACTGTCTTTCGATATTCTGGACAGCAACAGAAATGTTTCGGAGGCATTTCCCATCTTGAACAAAAAAGACAAACAGTCAGAGGGGAAAAGAGTCAGAGAACAGCATCTGTGCTAACACTTTTTTTACCTCTGGCAGTCAAGCAAACTTACCGAAGCCACAAAAAAATTGTGTCGAGGATATGTCTAAACACATTGATATTTATTAATGTATAAATGAATCACTAGATTATCATCTATTCTCACTGTTACGCAAACAATATCCCTGAAAGGTTGTATCGCAAGGCTCTCAAGCTAGAGATGGGGCGGGCCTTCCTGCTTGGTTGTGCTGCCAGTGGCTGGGAAGCCACTGTCTTGATCAGCTGAGGCAGGCAGGTGTGCAAGAAAGGGAAAATGTTTGGGACTGTGAGCTACTTGGCGGAAGGTTGGATGAGAGACAATTGATTGTTTCCCAGATTTTCTATGTAAAAAGTTTTCACGTTATTTTTGAGTGTTTTATGTTATAATACTGAACTGTCATCCGACACGGGGGAGAACATGTTGGAACTGAGCGGAATGAGCTGGTCCAGAGAGTGATGCATCGTGGTGCCGTAGCAAGGCTGCAACAGCTAAGGTCTGTCTCCCTTACCTACAGTAGGCGGGTGCTTTCTTTCTTTGTAAAGGAACCTAGACTTCATTTCGCACAAATGTAAATAGAGCCTGATAAAGACATCACGATTATTAAAGGTTTTGATACCAGTCATATTCGACTGGGGTTTCACATTAAGTTGAGTCAAACTCTTTATTATACTTTGTTGAATCACATAGGCCAGACCAAATCTACACTCAGATACATTCTTGCCCTTCATATCCTCACAATTGGATATCTTTCTTTACGTTAGGTTCCCCCCCCGAACAATCATATTATCAGTTTAAATGCATGCTATGGATATAGATAACATGAAAATGTATTCAAAGCTTTTCTATTTACTTAACGACTTAACCTCTATTACAGATTAAAGAGGGCCAACCAAGGGAAGAGACACGTTAAATCACCTGGAGTTAAGAGTGGATCTTCTCATGTATAAATTCCATTATCATAAAGTCAGGAGATTATCCTCAAAGAGAACCAGAGGTGAGGAAAGTATGTTTAATGATATTCTTTGTGGACTTTCTATTAACATTTTAAATGGCCTCAGTGCACGTAGCAAGGCTTGCAAACACAACTTCTGCACCGGTTTGTGTCTCAATCAAGTGCAAGGGCTTGATTATACAATCTAGATGTGACAAAGCACTTGTGTTTATGTGACTTCATCATGGTTGAGAGTGTCATGAACTATGCAGCTGTTACAGCTAAAAACAATCATCATCAAAAAAATATATATATTAATACATGTAAGCAAGTCTTTCTCCTGAAAATAACCTTGGTTGTTGCCCGTTTGTATAATCACAGCATGTGTGTTCTGAGTTATGAAAAAACTACTTAAAAGTAGCCCTCCTTTTCTATGTCCCTGAGAGAGTCTAGTTTGTATTGCTATATTACAATGCATACTGAACAAGTGGAGAGCAAAGCGTCAACATAAACCATAATGCAGGCAATGGATCAATGGACATTTACACATGAGAAGCTCCACTCAACATAAACCAGAATGCAGGCACCACGTTAGAGTCATAGGTACAAGGTGGCAGAACAAGACAAAGCCCTTCAGGGTGATATTGCTTTAATGCAAGTAAACGCTGATAAGCAACATCATGTTATTATATTTTGCTTCACCTTCACATCCAGTTCCACACAAACACGCTTTGTTTAATGTACATTTCTCTTTGTTTCAAAGTATAATCAACCACATAAGAGTCTGCATGATTGACAAAGACAGGCGGATGAGCTAAAAAGGGCATCTGAATCTGTCAAACTAAGTATGACGCAGTCTAGATCAGTACCGACTTTAACTTCATGTCAATACAAAGCATTATACCAAGCTGGAATGGTATATAATACTAATGTACATTACTCCCAATATTTAGCTGGCGGTTGTTTTTAGGCCAGTTGTCATGGCTAATTGTGGTTAATCTGAGTTTGGGTGTGATATAGGTATAGCATTAGGGCACTGGCTCTTCCTCACTTTCTCGCTCAGTCATTTGGGTCAGGTATGTGTGCGAGGGAACCTAGAAGATAAAGGTGTCCTACACGCACTGGAATGGTTGTGTGTTCTATAAAATCTGGCTGTGCATCAATGTTTATTTATATATTCTATAATTTTTTTCAACAGAAAAATGTACTCAAAGTACCAGAATTAAAGGTAGTAACTTGGATCACATTGAAATGTTGTTTCATTAACATGAATGTAATGTTAGCAGCATTTTAAAGCATTGCATTTCATTGAGGGATCATTTGGTTCTCAGTAGCTGAAAGCATATGACACACTATAAAGTCATATAAGACTGATCCAGTGGAGTGCTTTTAAAAGGGAGCTCAATTAGCTGATAGCTCCGTAAACAGCTCTGAAGGTGTAACAAGATCGAACATGTTTCAAGATTAAACAATGCACCAACAACAACAAAAAGAATTCCTCACATTCCCCATGATAAACTCTTCAATAACAATCTTCTGCTTCTTTATCTCTCCTTCTCACAAGTTTGTTGCCTTTTCGCTCTTAAATTAGGATCTCATATTTTTAAATGAAAAAAAAAATATCAGCTCCCTGTTTGTCTCTCAGAGTGAAAATACAAATTGAGGCAAAGATAGAAATAGAAATAGAAATAGTGTTTGGTAATGGAAATGCAAATGAGTTCTTGATAGTGCACTTCACACTTCCTCTGCAGATTAGAGGAAATATGCAGTTTGGATCCAAGCTGTATTTTTTTTTTTTAAATCCTTTTGGAGGATAGAAAGTCTTTTCTGCACTTTTACAAATATGAAACACAGTCAAATGAATCCGCTCGCAGCCCTGCAGAAATTGCAATGACTTGAACGTGCATGTTGTGTTTACAACCCGACTGTTCTCATGTTAAACTGTTCATCAATGTCAATGCAGCTGAAACAGATATTGTCTTTTTCCACCTTTGGGTTGACCACGTTTTATTCACAACTCATTACTTATTTTTCGGACTCTGCATTTTAGTTTAGTTTAACATATTCTCAGACACACACATTTGCTCCGCTGATTATTGACACAAGCAACGTTTTTTTCTATTTCCATTTCTTCTCCCTCGTCAGGATTTTATGAAATTCTGCAATCATTTTTTCGCCAGAATGCATCTGGGCTGCTTACAGTTTGTTTAGTGATAAGGATATCCATACATTATCCTAAATCTGCTAGTGTCGAGCAAAAAAAAAAGCTGCATTCAGATGCCAGGTAACTCATCTTTTTCACTCTTTTTGTTGTCACATTTAATCGTGTGGTCTTCAGCCCTGATTGTTAACTGAAATGACATCACTTGAAGCAATTTATCATATCCAACCACACCTCCTTCTTGAGGCTCGTAGGGCTTTATACAACTTTTTTCTTAATTCTCGCATAAGGGCAGTTATGAAGTAAACGGACAATGATGTCTTAAATCAGTGAGGTTTGCCTTTGATTACTGGAAATGGAAATGTTTGTAGAATTCAGGATCTCTGCTAACAACCACATCTGTGTCAGTAGTGATTTTGCAGGGACAGATTCATGCTGTGCTTTCAGAATACTGAATCTACAAGCATGTCTTATAATTGACTGCCAACTTTCCCCTCTACTCCTCTCAGCAGTGTCAAGTGTACCTGGGGCAAGTCTCGATTGACATTCAGAGAGGAGAGAGAGAGAGAGAGAGAGAGAGAGAGAGCGAGAGAGAGTCATAGGAAGCAGGGTAAAGAGGAGGAATTCTCACACCCATCAGTCTGAGAGAGGGAGAAAGTGCCACACAGAGTGAAAGAAAGTCAAGAAGTGTCAGTCAGCCTGTAGCTGAGTGGTGAACCAGGGTTTATGATTGAAGAGGACATCTGTGACAACTTAAGCCTTCTTGTCATACAAATAGAACTTACAGTCCAGGGACAAACAGAAACACACATACAGTACAAACAGAAAGAGAGGGCAACATTTTCAAGAGGACAAAGAAGTAATAGGCTGGAAGAATGGGACACTGGAAGGAATAAGCGAAGGACAAGTGAAGGACAAGAGGGAGCCTGTAAATGAAACTGTCAGAAGCACTGAATAGAAAGCTGAATGATGAAGATTACCCCTGAGATGAATGGGACAAAGGGGACAATGTAAGAATTCAGTTACAGAGAGAATCCCAAACTAAGGGAGATTGAATGGAATACACAGCAGACGATACATTATTCTCCTGGATGTATTGGAGTAATTCATCGCGTTTCGAGCATCCGTACACATATAAACTGAGTCTCCGACGCCACAGTAGCTATATTTTCTTCCCTGAAAGAATCCCACTTAACTCCACCTTCATTATCAATTCAGTCCTGTTGTCTGTCGTTCTTAGGATACTTTTTTTTTAAATGACAGAGCACTGAAATTACACAAAACTTTACAAAAGAAATGGAAAAAAGATTCAGTTGTTTTTCAGTTGTTTTTGTTACTCAAGTTTCTGATATCATTGACATCCCACAAAACCAGCGAGATGTGTTATTATACAACATCATCGCATTTTTATGAAACATTGTAATCCAACAAGAACCAGAATAATCAAATCACATTTAGCACAGCATATATGACCACAACGGACCACAAACTGAGGCAAAACATCGATATCGTCTTTAAAGTATAAGGAAATTGAATTACATTTGTTTCTAAAGTGCCTTATTTCATTAATAAATACATCTGTCATTTATTACAAAGCATTGGTATTGTATCTGAAGCACACACGCAACACATCAATATGGTTTTGAATATGTTATGAAGACAAGATTCTTAACCAGGATTACATTTCCTTGTACTCCAAACTAGTGTTCAGAGTAATTTGTTGTACAGAAAAAACTATGAATCAGAGGGTTGGACACTGGAGACCAAAACAGGCTCAACTGTTTTGAACATGAATTCCTGCCCATGAGCAAATAGATTCTCAGCACTGACAGGGAAAGTGGGATG